GCTTCAGGGTTTTAGGGTTTCGGGTTTAAAGTTTAGCGCTCATGATTTGAACTATGATATGATGTTGTTTACCTCCTGTTGCTTCCTTACCCGCCGTGAAAAGCAGCAAGTTCCAGCAACGAGAGCCGGTTTAGTGTTCAGGGTTTAGGGAGCCGAATCACATGTCAGGCGACAGTTTTGCAGAAACCCTAAACCCTAAACCCTAAACCCTAAACCGTGACTCTGTCGGTGACGCAGAAACCTGGCAGCCAGAACGTAGACTCTTTCGTCATGGTCAACCAAAACCTACCCAGCACCTCAACATCCGAGACTCTTCAGCCTGAACACGAAAAGCCATATGATACAGGGGCCTTCGTAATTAATTAGAATAGGGTTTTAGGCTCCTTTATACTATAATTAGAATACGGAGCCATAAAATATAATGCCCTTAATGATTAGAATATGGTTTTAGGCTTCTTTGTACTATCATTAGAGTTAAGGAGCCCCCAAAGTAGTCTAGGTAATTATTCAGGCCCCTATATTACACACATTGATGGGGGTATGTTACAGAGGCCAACGGCCGACTGCCATATGGCCACTCTCCTCTGGTCTTGGTGAACGAGGAAAGCGCTACTGTAGGATATCACCTGGTCCAGGGTTTATAGGGCCCAGGGTTTCGGGTTTATGGCTTAGTCGTTGAGGGCTCAGGGTTTAGGCTAGCTAATCCTAATCAAGTCTCTTCTACTGATTCGGCACTGGCATTGCATCTACGCCTTTCTATATCAACCCGATGCCCCCGACCTTCGACCCTCAACCATAAGCCGGAAACTACAAGGGAATGTTGACACACATATCTCAGGAAGAAAGCGCAAGACCCCAGTCTCTTCACCTGTCTGGGTGCTCTTTCTCTGGCATCTCCCCCATGTGTCTCACTGTTGCTATTTCTCCCTTTCCCTGTCTGCGTCTCTTTTCCTTGTCTCCCTCTCTCTCTCTCTCCCTCTCTTTCTCCCTCCCCCTCCTTTATCCTCTTGCTTTCCCCCTATGGCTTTCTCCCTCTCTCTCCCTTTCTTTGTGCCTGTCTGTCACTCTGAAACGCAACGAATGATGCAGCCGACGTCCTCCACAGTACGGGCTTTGGTGTTCACAAATTCCTTCACCACGTTTCATGGTAGGGCTACCCCAGAGAGGCTGCTTTCAATTTTCATGGTTCGTTATGATGCTTTCCGTTTATCTGTCCTTGAGCAGACAGGTTTCTGGTGGTTTGAGGTCAGGGAGACGCTTGGGAAGGCTTCGCGTGCGAAGGTTGATCTGAGATCCTGAAACTCTAAACCCTAAACCCTAAGCCCCAGACCCTAAACCCTGACCCCTAAACCCTAAACCCTAATCCCTCCACCCTAACCCCTAAATCCGCAACCCTGAAACCTTAAAGTGAAACGTTACAGCCCCAACCAGACGTAGCGATTCGTAGCGACCCTCTTGGAATGAAAGAGGGACCCCATCTAGCATCTATTGTTCCTTCTTCTGGAAGATACAGCCGGTGAAGTATCGTACATGTATTCCGTATACGGACCGTCATGCACCATCTGTATATATATATATATACAGGGTTAGTTATTTCTTTATTTACTTATGTATGGGTACATCTTTATATTTATATGCGTATACGTATGATGTATAAAATTGTATGCATCGATATATGGTTATAGAGTGGGAGACGTGCCCAAAAAGAGCCAGCGACAAAAGTCCGAAGCCAGATCCGAAACCCCGAACGGCGGTCAAAGTTGGCATTTTTGCACCCTGCTGACACGGTTTAGGGTTTAATATTACGGGTTTCTGGCAGGGAACAGAGACATCCAACTAGGTGGCACAGTTACTTTCACAATAGGCATGGCGGAGACAGGCTCCGTAGTAGCGACTGAATCCCAACCTTCAGACCCTACAGCACTAAGCCAAACAAAAGGTGAAGTAAAAGCCAAACCCACGAAGAAAACCGCAAGCCATAAACTCGCAAGAAGGACTCTTAAGCCCTAAGCCCTTAACCCTAAACCCTAAACCCTCTAAGCCCTAAACCCTAAACCAATCCGAAGAGGAGGATGCAGACACTTTGGAGCAGCGCCCAAAGCTGTCGAATCAGGGAACCTTCGGCTGATTTGGTTTTGTCGTTGGGGTTTAGGGCTTAGGGTATGTTAGGGTCTCCGTAACGCTGAAGCTTTGGGGTTTCAGGTTTGATGAGGGTTTCGGGATCAGGGTCTGTTAGGGTCTGTTAGGGTCTGGGGTGCAGCAATGGCCTGTTTTCTGACTTTTCGGTTGCTCTGGGTTCGAGAAAGAAGGCGGGTCTAACGCTCTGACATGCTCTCTGGAACCCTGTAAAACCGCAAGCCAAGAGCACTTTCATGGCGCCGAGCCCTAGACCGCCAAACCGATTGGGTTGAAACCGAAGATAGTGCGACACCCGTACGAAAAGGACCCCGATTTAGAGAACTACCCGTATGTGCATTTGGTTTGGCTGCGCGTCGACCATCCTGGTAGACTTCATGAATGTATGGTTTAGGGCTTAGGGGTTCAATGATAGGTTTTCAACCCAGATTCTCCAACATACTTTAATTAAGGAATGCTCCTTGAATCACAGTCATAGTAGGTGTCTGATCATGGTTTGAGGTCAACTCCCGAATCAAAGGTCGGCTTTGGCGTTTAGGGCTGTTAATCATCATGATGTTGCAAACACCTTTGCCAAAACCCTCTTAGGTTGAAAGTGCAGAGGCCCCTATTTTCCATCTTTCAGAAACATTTATAGTAACCTGTTGATAGAGAAGCTAAACGGAGCCCCTGTACAGGAACGCTAACCCAATAAAAAAATGTAAATTCAACACAAAACATGAGATATACAGGGTTCCTACCCAGGCAACGGGCCTGGTGCCGCGACGGATCATGTCTGGAGGGAAGGTGTCCATGTGCGCTGCTTGGCTGGATGAGTTTAAGGTTTAGGGTTGTGGCTTTACCTGGACCCTGGGTCGCAGTTGACGTTTTGGAGGGTGAGATGCTGTAATAAGACCACAAGGTAATTAACCAACAAAGGGATCGATATCCCTAGACCCAAAGCCCTATTTAAGGATCCAAGTCTGGTTTGCGTTTTTGGGTTCGACTCATGTCCTCCCTCAAGGGCTTTGGGGGCTCGGGCTTTGAGAAAACGGAGGTTTAGGGGTTTGGGGTTTAGGGTTTGCAGTTTCGGGTTTAGGGTTTAGTGAGGTCTAGGGTGAGAAGTCGGGATTCGGGCTTGGTGATTTAGCACTTCCCTTTGAGGGGGTAAACGTTCCCGGTACATCAGGGCATATGGGGACAGGGATCCTTTCAGAGCATGTGTGTATGTGTGCGCATCTTTTGATGCATCTAGGTGTGCGGAGATAGGAGACATCGTAAATATGCGTGTCTGTATGTATATTTCATACACACATACATGCATGCATGCATGCATACATACGTACATACATGCGTACATACACGCGTACCTACATACATGCATGCATACATACATACGTACATACATACATACATACATACATACATACATACATACATACATACATGACATTACATACTTAACCTTACATTACATATATGCATGCAGACATACATGCATGCATGCATGCATGCATGCATGCATGCATGCATGCATACATACGTACATGTACGCACATACAGCAACAGCGTCCGGCTGTGCTCCTGCACAGACGCCTCTACTTACACTTGATGTCCTGATCGATCGCGTCGGGCTGAGGTGTAGCATTTGCAGAGGTGAGCAACGCTCCCTAAACCTTAGACTCCAAAGACAACTCCCAGTCGTCCGTGGCTTTAAGAGCACGACTTTCGGGTATCTTAAACAGGGACGCTCTCAGTAGTCAGAGGTAAGGTAGGTTGGTATAGGAGTCGGAAGAATTAAAATTACTGCTAGCATTGCTTCCTGAGACTCCGGATTATTATCATAGCAGAGCATAGCCCAAAAGACCCTGTTCCATGTAATCATTAAGGCCACCTGTCGGTGTTCACCCGCCCAGGATACCTTTCTCCGGTGGAACAGCTACGCCTCATGGGTTTTCCGGAGGACGCAGGGAACCCTAAATCCTAAGGTCCTAAGCCCTAAACTAAACCCTGAATCCAAAACCCTAAACTAAGCCCTAAGTCCAAAACCCTTGAACCACAAACCCTAAACTAAACTTCCAGAACCCGAAGCCATAAACCGGCTTTAGGGCTGATAGGCGTTAAGATGTTTCTTTGTCGCAGGACTACGCATTTCCACCGAGTCTTTCGCTTCTCGGATATTGTGGCTCCGGGTTTAGGATTCAACCACAAATCAACAGGTGGCTGCTCCGGGTTTTATCAAACAAGATCCCCGACACCCCGGACCACGGTTTAGGGGTTTAGGGTTTAGGGCTTTAGTCCTAAACCTCCTAGGAAGCATCCTATGATAAACCCCTAAATGCTGGGTCGGCAGCACTCAGCAACCCTACATCTGGAAAGCTGTATCGTAAGCTTGAAACCCAAAAGATCCCCCGGTAGTACCGCATTAGATATTTAGTTTCCTTACTAAAACTGAATGATAATATAGGAACAAGGTAATTTCTTGCATCATTACGGGCATGCGGGGGGCCAAGAGCCAGAAAAGCCACCAGCTGAGGTTTAAGGACCGCTGCTCATTGATCGGAAACTCTCTCAATGCCTCTTGGCACAGAATCATACAGACGCTACGCCTGTCTTCGTAGCGATATCCTCGGCGTTTGTCATGAGATCATAAGTACAGACTAACCCAGCAGCAGCAGCAGCAGTAGTAGTAGTAGTAGTAGTAGTAGTAGTTAATAGTAATAGTAATAGTAATAGTAAAAGTAATAGAAATAGTATTCGTTTAGAAATTAGTATATTGTTACTATTATTATTGGTAATAGTAGTAGTGGTAGTAGTAGTAGTAGTAGTAGTAGTAGCAGTAGTAGTAGTAGTAGTAGTAGTAGTAGAGTACGTTGTGCCGGGAATTTAGAACAATTATTTTGCGGAACCGTCTTGGCAACCTTGGTCATCTTGCAATCTTGGTGAATCTTGGTCCAAAAGCAAGATTGCCCGAAATCTTGCTAATATTGCAATCTAGGTCATCTTGCCCCACTTGCCCCGCTTGCCTCTTCAGACCAAGATTGTCCAAGCTTGCGTGCAATCTTGGCCTTCTGCCAAGTGGGGCAGAAGTGGAGCAAGTGGGGCAAGTTAGGCAAGATTGCAAGATTGCTTGGCAATCTTGCTGAAATAGATGTTGTAAATTCCCGGAAAACTCTAGTAGCAGTAGTTGTAGTAGTAGTAGTAGTAGTACTACTACTACTACTACTACTACTGCTACTACTGCTACTACTCCTACTACTACTACTACTACTACTACTACTACTCCTTCTACGACCAGTAGGAGTAGTAGTAGTAGTGGAGTGGTAGGAGTAGCAGCAAAAGTCGTAGCAGAAGTAGTAGGATAGTAGAAGATTCCAGAACCCTTAACCCTAGACCCCTTAACTCCTTAACCCCTCAAAACCTAAACCTTGAAGCCTGATCTCAGAACCCTCAAAGCCCCAAAGGTACCAGGACCGCTCAACCACCAACATGGGTTTAGGGCTTTGGGGTTTAAAGGTTCAGAGTTTCGGGGCTTTCGGGATTAGGCGGATCTTGAAGCAGCAAGATCTGAACCCGGGACCCTGAATTCTAGGTTGCAAGTTCTCAAGTCTGGTAAACCCCGTACTGTAAGCCTTGAAGCCTTGAGGCCTAAGCCCTGCTGCCTTAGGTGAAGATTGTGGGGAATCTGCTTCCGCTGCTGCTCAACCCGAGCGCAGGGGACAAATCCGGAGGCGGTGAGATGTCCGAAGAGGCAGCTCAGATCATACAGGGTTCAGGATATTCATTTCTGAACCTCTAAACCTCTCTTTTTCTTTGTGGGCTCACGATCGGGGGCGAGTGTGCAAAGTTCCAGCTGTTCGAGATCCAGGAGGTGGAGCGTTTAGGGTTTAGGAGCTAGGCTTAACTACTTTCGGATTCAGAGCCCTCAACCCTAAACCTCAAAGCAGGCTTTTTGGAGAATTAAGGCTCTTGCTTCTTTAGAGCTCTGGATGTACGTACTACAGGAGCCTAAATGGTTACCAATACTATCTTGGGGCCCCCAACAACCCTATTCTAGTCATATACTAAGGCTTCTACATTAGGCTTCAGGATCCCCTGTGTTCGAGAGTACTATACTTTAGTCTGTGTTTTTGCTCCGGTTCCTTGAGGGAGCTGTTATAAGTCTATACATCGGTGTTTATGCGTTTGTTGACTTGGTCCTTAAAGGAACTGTCATGAAGCATAAGTTGGTTTTAGGTTTTTTGCTAGACACTAAACCCTAAACGCTAACCATTCTGAAATAGAAGTTTATACCTTTTTGCCGCTCACAGCCTCCAGTCTCGGAAATGGGCTCAAGGAGTTTAGGGTTGTTTTAGGGTTTAAGAGTCTAGGGTTTAGGGTTTAGGGTTTAGGGATTAGGGATTAGGGGTTTAGGGGTTTAGGGTTTAGGGTTTAGGGCTTAAAGGTTTAAGGGTTTAGGGCTTGTGCTGCAGTCTGACTTGAGTTTCCCAACGGCCACACCGGAGTCTGGAGGTTGCTAGGGGCTCAGGGTCTAGGGCTTAGGCTGTAGGGTCTAGGACACGGGACTGTTCAAGTTTAGGGGTCCAGGGTTTAGGGCAGCATCCTCAGGAAACGATCTTCGGAAACACGAGCAAAGGTAGCCCACTTGCGAAGCATAGTTTACTCACCGATCTTGACGTTCGTATGTAGACACTCCAAGCCCTAAGCCCTACGAGACACCTGTTGCTGGAATGCTCAGAACTGTGGGCTATTTACTTAGTTTGAGAGTTGGGGGTGTAATCAATTTCTGAGGTGAAGCCTTCTAGAACCCTTGAGAATCCTTCAAGGAGTCCTTATAGTAACCGTGCAGTATAGGCTGATAATAACCCTCAGCGAAGCTCCTTTAAGTAACCCTTAAGGGAATCTTGCAAGACTAGGCAGCTGCGGTCGCAGCTGATCGGGCCGCAGATTTGGTGGCCAAGGTCTTTTGGGTTCTAGAAGGGGTTTATAGCATGTGTTTGTGAGGGCTGTGTGTGGGGTTTCTGTACTGAAACTGAGTTCTCCAGGGTTGCATCAAGTATCCTGGATCTGTTACGGGTTTCCGGCATAGGGGTGTGGGGTTCAGGTGTTAAGGTTCCAGAAGGCTTATACTAAACAAGCGCTGCTGGAGAGGATTTGAGGGTTCAAAATACAGGCCTGGGGAGTACTATCAAGAGTGTTCCTAGTGTGCAACCACTGTCGTTATACGTCCAGCTGCGAGTGCCCTATACCCTAAACCCTAAACCCTTAACCACATTTGAATTAGATTCCGACCCCCCGTATCAGAGTTCCAGGACGAATCCCCACAGCTTGCTCCAGGAGCTTTGAAAGACTCGGGCCTGGTAGGATCACAGATGTGTAGACACAACACTGGCATACTAGAAGATGATGACGGCCCAAGAGATGGGGACGAGGTGGTAGTGAGAACAAACTTAATATAGGGGCCTAAATAAATTACTTGTACTATAATGAGGGTCCCTTATGATAGTTATAGTATAATGGGCCCCACAAAGGCCCTTATATTATTGTGGCTGATCCGGGATCCCATTGTGCTGCAGATACAAGGAGTTCCTGAATGAGAGTCCTACATGTGCCTGAAGCGCGACTCAAAAGTAGAATCCAAAATGCGAATATCGAGGCCGTAAAAATTAGAATAGGGTTTGAGGGGGTCTATTCTACTGTCTTTATATTAAGCAACCCCTCCCCTCACCAAAAAGAATCCTCGTCTAATTATATATAGTAAGGCCCCTGCACTAAACCCTAAACCCTAAACCCTAAACCCTAAACCCTAAACCCTAAACCCTAAACCCTAAACCAAAACCCTAAACCCTAAACCCTAAACCCCTGGTGGGCGGCAGAGGGGCATTTCGGAGCTCTTAGACCT